CAAACAGACCTAAAAGAGGAAGGGGAGAAAAAAAAACAACCTAGATTTTTGCACCGCACATCAGTAATTTGCTGTCAGGAGAGAGAGTACAGGACCCACTGGCTGAGATAGCTTTCAAAGTGAATTTTGTAAATTTAGAGAGATTGGATGCATCAACAGCTGCTGTTTTTTTCAGCAGTGTCTCTGTCTCACCCCCCCCGTCTCTTCCCATCAAACTCCTCTCTCTGATCTGTGGTCGTTTTTTTGCCCCCAGCCTAGTTCACCCCTTCTGCAAAACTCTGCTTTTCTTAAGCAGCTTTTATCAAATAAATTATAACGGCCTTGAATGTTCTAACCCCTTCTTCGGTGTAACTTTCTCTCTGTTTCTCATCTGGGTCAATTTTAGACGTGTCTTGATATTCCCCCAAAAAAGAAGAAGCTGGAGCAGTCTGTTTCTATGGAGTCGTGGTTTAATATAAGTTGATGGATCTAATTAAGCCTGTGGTCACATACTTGAGGCTGAACCCATCTGTGGAAAAAGCTGACCTTTGAATTTTTAACCAAAATACATCACCCGCGTGGGTAAGTTGACAGTCAATTTTTTTTTGGTCATGTTTTAATTTCCGCCATTGGGTTATCTGTGGGTAATCCACAGGTTATCCATTTTTCATGGCATTTTGGTTAAAAAATAGAGAATAAAAGAGTTGGAAGGCACCTTTGAGGTCTTCTAGACTAACCCCCTGCTCAAGCAGGAAGCCCTATCCCATTTCAGACAAATGGCTGTCCAATCTCTTCTTAAAAACCTCCAGTGTTGGAGCATTCACAGCTTCTGGAGGCAGGTTGTTCCACTGGTTCATTGTTCTCCATCAGGAAATTTCTCCTTAGTTCTAGGTTGCTTCTCTCCTTGGTTAGTTTCCATCCGTTGCTTCTTGTCCTGCCTTCAGGTGCCTTGGAGAATAGCTTGACTCCCTCTTCTTTGGGGCAGCCCCTCAAATACTGGAATACTGCTATCATGTCACCCCTGGTCCTTCTCTTGGTTAGACTAGACATCCCCAATTCCTGCAGTCGTTCCTCTTACGATTCATCCGACGTTTTCCTGTGTTGTCATCACAAACCAGCCAGGGGAAAACGAAGCGATCTTCGGCTCACGTCTTCAAGCTTTTAAGCCACGGCAAGCACAGGCTTCAACCTTCACCGACGTCCTTTTAATCATAATAATGAAAGGGAAGAGTTGCTATTAATTTGAGCGGGACCTGGCACTCGGCAGCTAGAGTGGCAGGCTCTTCTCCAAATGAAGGTGTTGGGCTATAAATCGGAAAAGCCCAGATTGACAAGCATTTGGACATCTGCAGGCCGCCCTCCCATCTTCCGAGAAGCACTTTGTGGCCTTTGTTTCTCCCCCACCCCTTTAATTAAGTGGAAGAGAAAGCAAGAGGCAGCTCAGGATGAGAAAAAAAAAACAAGACTTGGGAGTTCTGAATGCATTTTTTTTTTAAAGAAATTATATAGGTAGTCCTCAACTCTCCACCATTTATTTGTTCACCGTTACAAAGATGCTGGAAAAAGTGATTTACAACCAGGCCTTGCAGTTATGATTATCTTGGCATTCCCCACCTCGTTTTTGCTGTTCGCGTTTGTGTTGGGATTCAGCAAGACACTAGTCCTCAGGACCGCTGGCTGACGTCTGCGAGAGAACAGGGATGCAAAATATAGCTCGGTGCCGAAGCAGCCTTGATGAATAAGCTTAGAAGGAAAATGAGGAGGGCTGAAGGAAAAAAAAAATAGATATTATTGGTGGGGGTGAGCATGCCTGAAAGGGACCTGGGATCGGAATGCTTTTGATTATTATTTTTTGTACATTTTGTATCTGAGCTGTTAAGTCTCCCTCCATGAAAAGTCAGCCCATTTTGTTGCATCAGAATTTCCTGACCTCTCCATGGTGCTGAAAAACACCTGTTGATTCTCCTCAAGTCTTGGCGATAGTGCTGTTTGAGGAACCAGGAGACCACTGAGTTCAAAGCCAGCTGGGTGACTTTGGGCCAATCACCAGGAGACGGTGAGTTCTAGTCCCGCCTTAGGCATGAAAGCCGACTGGGTGACTTTGAGCCAATCATTGGGTGTCGGTGACTTCTCGTCCCGCCTTAGGCATGAAAGTCAGCTGGGTGACTTTGGGCCAATCACTAGGAGTCGGTGAGTTCTAGTCCCAATCAAATTAAAAAAACTTAAGCCACGTTTGCTTGCCAATCTAGGCTTAGCATCACCCGACGAGAGCTGCAGGAACCATCTCCTCTCCATCCCCTGGAAGCCAAGTTTTCCTAACAACTGTTTCGCCTTGCCCGGCTCCACCCCATCTCAGCTGCAGCCGTTCCCTGTTTATAAATCACGTCGTCACTCAGCCTGCGTTTCAGCATTTAACGTGTCTTATGCTGTGATCCTTAAAAGCTGAAATTAATGACATCCGTGCCGCTGCTCATTAATAATTGCTTCGTTACTGTATATACAATGGCGTCCTCTCGACAATAGCCAACTTTAGTTCAGGTTTTCTAATTATCTGGCGTTTGGGCGACTCGACGGAGCTTCCCAGCACCCCTTGCTGTGGAAGAAAAAGACGATGGGTGTATCCCCAATGACACGGATCAAAAGCTTCCTGCACGTTCGGCGTTGGCTGACCATTCAAGGGAGGAGAACATGAGGACTTTAATAGGGGGGGGGGAGAGGAAGGAGGGAAGATGTGCAATTCTCCAGCACAAGCCTATATCAAATATCTCTGATTAACTTAACACCAGACATGTCACTAGAAGCCAAAATGACGAAACCGCATCTTATTTACTTTGGCTATGTGACGTGGAAGAGTCTGCTGGAGAAAGCAATTAGGTTTAGAAGAGTTAGCGTAAAAGGAATCCGGGATGCCAAAGAACACGATGACTGGACACCATCAAAGCTGACACCAGCCAAACAACTCAGCAGGCAAGACAATAAACAACGGACGGAAAGTAATCAAGGAGAGAAGTAACCTGGAATTAGAACAGAATGGAATGGCATAGAGTAGAGCTCGAAGGGACCTTGGGGGTCTTCTAGTCCAGCCCTCTGCTCAAGCAGGAGAACCTATATACCATCTCAGACAAGTGACTGTCCAGTCTCTTCTTAAAAACCTCCAGTGATGGAGCGCCCACGATTTCTGGAGGCCAGCTGTTCCACTGGTTAATTGTCCTCCCTGTTAGGAAGTTTCTCCTTAATTCCAGGTTGCTTCTCTGTTTGGTCAGTTTCCAACCATTGTTTCTTGTCTTGCCCTCTGGTGCTTTGGAGAATAACGTGACCCCCTCTTCTCTGAGGCAGCCCCTCAAATACTGGAACACTGCTATCATGTCTCCCCTATTTCTTCTTTTCTTTAGACTGGCCAAACCCAAGTCCTGCATCCATTCTATTCTATTCTATTCTATTCTATTCTATTCTATTCTATTCTATTCTATTCTATTCTATTCTATTCTATTCTATTCTATTCTATTCTATCCTATCCTATCCTATCCTATCCTATCCTATCCTATCCTATCCTATCCTACTCTACTCTACTCTACTCTATTCTCATTCCATTCTAATTTTCCATTCCATTCCATATTCTATTTTATTCTCATTCCATTTCATTCTAATTTTCCATTCCATATTCCATATTCCATATTCCAATTCCTATTCTATTCTATTCCATTCCATTCCATTCCATTCCATTCTATTCTATTCTATTCTATTCTATTCTACTCTATATTCTGTCCCATCCCCCCCTCTTAAGACCTTTCCTCTTCTCTCTCCTCCCCAACTCTGATAAATAAATAAATAAATAAATAAATAAATAAATCCTGGCCCAATCTGTACAGAGAACATCACACCCGCTTACCGAAAGAATCAAACCTCGCCATAAATCTTGAGAAAGAGTATAAGGAATTTATTAGTAATAAAAAGGGGGTACATTTGTACTACAAGTTGGCTTGGTGGTGGAGGGTTTCCCACCCCCACCTTTCCCTAAAAGAAAATGGATCGTTTCACCACCAGCGATCACCCTTGGGGGAGTGGAGGAGGGATGTGTGTCTGAGAAAGCAAGGGGGGGGGAGGAGGTTGATACAGATTGAAGTCTCCCCCATCAGGGTTCAGCCTCTGTCTGGGCTCCTTGTCGAGTGCCTAGCCAGCCTGCGGCAGCTTCCCCACTGACTCTAGCGAAGAAAGAGGTCTAGAAAAAACAAACCAACTCAAAAAAAAAAAAAAAAGAGAGAGAGAGAGAGAGAAATTCAATTGTGACATCAAGCCTAGACGGGCCCCTTCCTGGAGGCCTCGGAAAGCAGCCCGTTCTCCTTGGGGTTGATATGGCTCTTGATTTCCATCCGAGGACGACACCCGTGGCCGGCAACGTCGGCCTTCTTCATGCTGATCTGTAAAACGAACGTTCGCAACTGCGGTTGGCGGTGGCTAGCAACCGCCAGGCCGGAAACCTCTCTTTGAGTCTTAGGCAGCCGAGGGAGAGCATCTCCTGCTCAGCCCACGAGAGTAGCCAGCGTCTCTTCAATTGGGCTCCAGGCCAGCCCGGCCTTTATTGCTGCCCGGTTCTCTTCTCCTTTTGGAAGCTGAAGCTGGTTCTGCGACTCAGTTTCTTTTGCTTCTGGGCCAGGTAATCCGCCCGGGCTGTGCTGGCACGGGATTCAAGGATGTAGTTCATCTGAAAGAAGCAAGGGGGAGAGAGAAAGAAAGAAAGAGAGAGAGAGAGAGAGAGAGAGAAGGAAGGAAGGAAGGAAGGAAGGAAGGAAGGAAGGAAGGAAGGAAGGAAGGAAGAGAAAGAGAAGGCCACCTGTTTCAACCAGCCTAACCAATCGGGAGGCTGGGAATCTAGGCTGGCAACACCTGGAAGGACACCCTCCCCCCCAACTTCTACCCTATTGGTTAAGCCATCTGGCAATTGCTGGGTCAAAGGGGTTTAAAATGGGGGCACCCCACACATTTCCTTGGCCCTTACCTTCAGCACGATCTCGTTGACAGTGGCAGCGTCGGATTCAAAGTAGAGATGCTTGTAATCGTGGTTGCTGAGATAGGTGAGCTTAAATATTGCATGACCTGCCAGGGATGAGGAAGGAGGGGATGAAAAAGAAGAAGAAGAAGAAGAAGAAGAAGAAGAAGAAGAAGAAGAAGAAGAAGAAGAAGAAGAAGAAGAAGAAGAAGAAGAAGAAGAAGAAGAAGAAGAAGAAGAAGAAGAAGAAGAAGAAGAAGAAGAAGAAGAAGGAAGAAGAAGAGGAGGAGGAGGAGGAGGAGGAGGAGGAGGAGGAAGGAGAAGGAGAAGGAGAAGGAGAAGGAGAAGGAGAAGGAGAAGAAGAAGAAGAAGAAAGAAAAGGAACAAAAATGGTGAGGTTGGCAAAAGTTTTACAATATTTTTGTGTACAAAAAGGCATTTTAACCAGTTTTTCCCAAGATAGATTAAAGCACACGGATGCTGCAACAGTCGCTAAGCGGGGAAAACAGTCACAAGTTGCTTTATCCAGGGCCACTGTCCCTTTGAACGGTCACTAAACGAATGGTTGTTAAGTCGAGGAAAACATCCCAACGACCGGCGTCTTTGGATACGAGATGGACGACAGTTAAAATTTCATGATAAATAAATAAATTATTTCCCCCCACCCTCTTCCAAGGATTGGGAGCTGCCACTCCAGAAACCTTCAGCAAGCCGAGGGTGGGCATGACAGACGCCTGTGCGCTTGTGTGTGTGTGTCTGTGTTGTGGGGAGGGGAGGGGGGTAGAGGACCCACAGATGGTGAGCTTTGCATACCGTCAGCAGAACAGACGGGCGGAGAGGAAAACTGACATCCTTCTCCTGTCACTTGAATTCCGGGCACAGGAGTGGCTTTTGGGGAGAGGAGGAGCCTTCAGTGTCTCCCCCTCCTCAAATATCCGATATCTGGTGAACAAACTAATTATTCATGGACCTGTGAGTGGACAGTCACTAAGGAAACTTATGTTCTCACATTTAGCGCAGTCACGGGCGCATGGAGGATCTCTCAACCGTGGGCCTAACCCAGCCCCTGGCACCCCAATCCTGTTCCCTTAGCCCTAACATAGCTCTAATATGAGCTTGTTTGCTGCTGGTTAAAATGCCCTCTTTGTTTACCCATGGAAAGAGGAATAAATAAATCAACAGCCATTACTGAACTTCTTAAACCGTCTCACAAACATTTCGTCTTGACCGCAACTTGAGAAACTCTTATAAACGACGAATATTTCAACGAACATTCACGCACTGGCAATTGAAATTTCATGTATTAAGGCACTCTTTCCATTTAATTTTTTTTTTTTTTAAATGCATTTGGTCCAAAAGTCTGAATGAATTCATCTACAGAGATAGCCTCGTCGTTTTCCCGGAGATTTATCTGCTTTTCCCGGAGTAAATAAGATTTGAAATCTTGTTTACAGTAGACAATTCTCCAAATAGCCCCAAATAAACTGCGATAGGGCCAGCAAACCGGAGATCTTCAGTTTTTCATCACGGCAGGTTAACTAAACCCTGTTATCCCAGGCTAAGCCGGAATTATGAATTGGCAATTTTGGTCTGATGGACGAATGACTGACCTAGGATTGAAATCCACAAGTCTTAAGGTTCCCAAGCTTGGATATTCCTGATCTAAAGGGATAATGTTGGGTTATAGGGCTTTTTTTTTTTTAACATGGGCTCCATGTAACTCCCCCAAAAGGTAAACAATATGGACACAGCCCAGGGGAGGGGAGGGTCCCCCCAAAAAAGGGGCCTGGCAGTCTAGTGGGCAGTCAATGACCCACCCTTCCGTTCCAGGCAGGCTGTTAGTAAGGCCCCTTGGCCCAGCTTTTGACTGCTCGCCCTCTTCTCGCGTTAAAACCTGGTGATTTATCTCGCCTTTTCGATTCGGGGTCTTTCGCAGCTGACAGAAGCAGAACGCGGAACTTTATTTCAAATTCTTATTTTTAGCTTTTGAAAGAGTCAGCCCTTTTCCGAGGCCATTACCCAGTCAGGGATGTCAATAACGCTTATTGTGCAGAGAGTAACAGGAGGCTGTGGGTTCAATCCATCACGGACGACACATCTCACTAGCCCTGCGTGCTCGCACCTGTCAAGAGGGAGCGAGATTCGGGTCTTCGGCACGCAGGAGCATCTAGAATCTCGGCTTGGCGGTGGCTGGTTTACACCTAGATTATTTAAAGGGCGTTATCCAGACTGGGATAAGAGCTTGCAAGTCCCACGATCACAGCCAGCACCAGATTTTCAATGCACGCACCTGTCTTTGTGTTTGAGATTGTGATCACCTTTAAACGAAGGAATGCCAATAAATGGGCTTGATTTTATTAATTTCAGGAGCCTCGTTCTGAACCGAAAGGCTGTCTTTGGACAGTCAGTCAAGTAATTTAATGGAATAACAGAAGAACAGAGTTGGAAGGGACCTTGGAGGTCTACTAGTCCAACCCCCTGCTCAAGCAGGAAACTCTGTACCATTTCAGACAAATGGTTGTCCAATCTCTTGTTAAAAACCTCCAGTGATGGAGCGCCCACAACATCTGGAGGCAAGGTGTTCTACTGGTTAATTGTCCCCACCGTTAGGAAAGTTCCAAGTTGCTTCTTTCCTTGATTAGTTTCCATCTGTTTCTTCTTATCTTGCCTTCTGGTGCTCTGGAGAATGGGCTGATCCCCCTTTTCTTTGGGGCATCCCTTCAAATTTAAAGCTGTGTGTTATTCTCTCTACCATGGGTGCGAGTTTCTTTTGGGGGTCCAAACTTACAAACTCTGGCACGTTGCCCTAAGATCCAGGAAATTGTTGATTTTGCAGGCAGAGGAACCTCTTAACCAGGGCTTCTCCAGCTGTCTGGTTTTTCTTTTCTTTTCTCGTGAGGTCGGAGGTCTTGAAAAATACGACAAGGGGCCAAAAACGCTACAGATCTCGTCCCCTTCCGAGCTGCATCTCCAGAACTGCCCCTCTTCCCCTCGTGTTTGGGAAGAGATAATAAGTAAACCAAATTGCACTAAGCATCCTTTCCACCGTTGCGAGAGCGAGGAACGGTTCCTTCTCCTCCGGCGTCTGCACCTCATCAATCATGCCATTGTCTGCTTGAGAGCCGAGCCTTGTAAATGTCAGACCCACTCAAGTCCGAGGAGACGAGAATCCGAACATGGCAAGGAGGTTTTAATTGGGCGGCGTAATTAAATGGGCGTAGGAGGGGGAAGAGGGGACGAAGGGAAGAGGACGGGGCGAATGCTGCTTTTGACAGGGAAGAGACGTCTTTGATGGAGAAAGACTTTGAAAGGGATTGAATAATAACAGAAGGAGAGAGTTGGAAGGGACCTCGGAGGTCTTCTAGTCCAACCCCCAGCTGTACCATTCCAGACAAATGGCCGTCCAGTCTCCGGTATTGGATCATTCCCAACTTCTGGAGGCAAACTGTTCCACTGATTAATTTCAGGACATTTCTCCTTAGTTCTAGATTGGATTCTCTCCTTGATGAGTTTCCATCCGTTGCTTCTTGTCCTGCCTTCAGATGCTTTGGAGAAGAGCTTGACTCCCTCTTCTTTGGGGCAGCCCCTGAGATACTGGAACGCTGCTATCATATCACCCCCTCGTCCTTCTCTTCATTAAACTAGGCATAACCCAATTCCAGCAACCGTGCCTTATATTTATATTTAACCTATTAGTAATCTACTTCGGAGAGACTATACATCAGGACATCAAACAGAGAGTCTCAGGAAGAGCAAGACAGTCTTACATAAGTGCCTGGGCCAAGGCAATCATACAATACTCCCATTTTACCGGTGGGGAAACTTGGAGAAAAAGAGAGAGAGAAAAGCTGAGCGGCCAGACGGAGAGGGCGAACCCCAGCATGCATATTTCTGTTGTCATTATGTCTACTGCGGTATATATTGGGATGGTTTTGAGGAGTCTGCTTCCCATTTTCTGGAAGGCTCAGGACCAACCTCATATAATCTCCCACCCCACCCACCCTTTTTCAACTTCTCCAGACTGTTAACCTGATTTGCGAAAGGTTAAGGCCATCTGTTTATAGATTTTGTAAGAGGGCCCAGCTAACTGGAAAGCAGTTTTCAGGAGAAATGGCAGAGGATAAATCACTGTAATAGAGTAAATAAGGAAAAACAAATTTCCTTCTCCAACCTGGGCTGTACCAGTTGGGGAGGGGGCTCACCGGCAATCACTGGGACAAGGGAATGAGCATTATAAGAGGAGGGATAGCAGCGTCAAGGCCTCGTGGCCCAGTTCATGATCTGAAATGAAGCAGGTGGTTGCTAAGGATATAAGCTGCCTCTAACCCCGTTTGCAACGGGAGGGAAAAAAAATCTCTTCTTTTAAGCTCAATTCTTCTCCCCTTTTACAGGTGCTGATAGTGGTGGAAACTGGCAGGAAAGCATTTTATTCAGGTGAGTGCAAGTTGAAACGATCAACTCGAGTTTAATCTCTTTTACAGGGAGGGAAAACCCCACTCCCCTACTAACACTGACGATGTTCCCTAGTTGGGTAATGAAATGTCTGCAAGGAAAAACACCAAACTCAGAGAGCATTAAGGACCCTCACAGTCCTCCTCCCACTCCTTCCTCCTCCTCCTCCTCCCACTCCTTCCTTCTCCTCCTCTCCACACACCCCACTCCTTCTAGCACTGATGATGTTCCCTAGCTGGGTCATGAAATGTCTGCAAGAAAAACCACAAAGCTCAGAGAGCACCAAGGACCCCAGGGTCCTCTCCTCCTCCTCCTCCTCCTCCTCCTCCTCCTCCCCCACTCCCTTCTAACACCATGTTATCTACTTTGGCAATGAAACCTCTGCAAGAAAGCAATGAAGCTCAGAGAGCAGCAACAACCCCACAATTCCACCCTGAGCTACACATATTTTCTTCTCTTCGATGAAAAGATGGTGATTTGTTTCCCCCCTCTATATTTTTATGGATGTTACTGTCATTTCACCGAGGTTTCTGAGCCAGCCAAAACCGTTAGGCAGTCGGGCTGCGTACAAACTTAGCCAATCATTACGACGTCCGCAGCTCGGCCCCTCTGAACTCCGTCCTGATCGCAATCCCCCCCTTGGTGCAAACCACGACTCAGCAGCAACCCACGAAACCTTTGGCTTTAAACATCTCTGGGGTATCACCCCAGAAGCAAACTAACAACACCAGAGACTCTTATCACAAACCCAGCCTGAGAAAGTTGTTGTGTGCCTGTGTGGGGGGGAGGAGGTGGGGTTTTTCTCTCCCCTCCCCTCTTTTTTCGGGGCGAATTCAATGGGAAGGAAGACTGACCCATGAAGCCACATCTATCAAACTGTCAGTTCTGTTGGCAGGTCTGGAAGGGAAAGGGGTTCAAAGGTTGCAGGGTAGAGGAAAAGTGTGTGTGTGTGTGTGTGTGTGTGTGTAGGGGGAATAAGGTGGGGGGAAGCAGCACTCTGCTTTGGCACTAATATGCCTTCTTCTTCGGGGGAAGAGTTGCTCCTTCATCCTCTGGCTTTAGGCAGCTTTCATTAATCTTCTCGCTCTCCTCCTTAACTAGCCATGCAGAACCGCTCAATAGCAAGAGACATAATGGGAAAGCCCTCTGCCTATTACCAGGTTAACATTCTGTTAAGCCCCGGCACAACAATGGAATGGCGATCGGGAGGGGACCTTCGCAGCCAAGAGCAGCCACCATTAAATGACAGCAGCAGCAGCAGCAGGAGGAGAAGGAAGGAAAGAAGGAGAGGAGAAGGAGGAGAAAGAGGAGAAGGAAACAGGAGTAGGAAGGAGGAGGAGGAGGAGGAGGAGGAGAAGAAGAAGAGGAGGAGGAGGAGAAGGCAGGAAGAAGGAAGGAGGGGAGGAGGAAGGAGAAGAAGAAGAAGAAGAAGAAGAAGAAGAAGTAGAAGAAGAAAAAGAAGAAGAAGAAGAGGAGGAGGAGGAGAAGGAGGAGGAGGAGGAGGAAGAGGAGGAGGAGAAGAAGAAGAAGAAGAAGAAGAAGAAGAAGAAGAAGAAGAAGAAGAAGAAGAAGAAGAAGAAGAAGAAGAAGAAGAAGAAGAAGAAGAAGATGATGATGATGATGATCACCCCCACCTATGGGATGGCCTGCTAGTCAAAGGAACTGCCTTGACAACAGGGCTTGGAGGGAGAAACGGTTAAAAAGCTTTTCCCCATAACTAGCTAGTCCTTTATAGGTTCAGTGTTTCAAAAGTTAGGTTGGGTGTCAGAAAGATAAAGCAAGTTGCTATGTACTACCTGGGGGCTGTTGAGTGGCGTATTACAAGGCGCGTGCCAGATCTGGGCATATTCACAGAAACAAAACAGGTCTTTCCAGATCTGCCCTAGAAACAAACATCTGGGGGAAGCAGAGCCGAGACCACCCTCTCCCAATTCTCCACATCTGAGGGCACCTTCCCAACGCACGGAGGTCAAGCCTTCTTGTCAAGCCTTCTTCCTCGGTTGGGCCTGGCCGAGCCTTCCAGATGCCGCAACCTCCGCACATCTGGCAGGCACACCAGCTTGGGAAAGAGCTGATCTAGAGAGAACTCTTGATGTCATGTCATAACACAACTCGCTTGCTGTTTTGATGGATGTCATGTTCCTGTGGACCTGCCGGCTTTGATCAAAACCAGACCGCTCCAGATCATAAGGCTTGCGCGTTCATCAAAAGAAATTAGTCTTGAGGTTCCATTACGTGGTTTTGGTTGAATGTTTAGCCAAGCAGATAGGATGCTGATGGGGTTGACCCAACCCTTTTTTGGGCTGGCCCTGGGCCTGTTCTACGGTGGACGGGGGGTATTTGGAACCGGTTCCCAACCTGTTTCTCCCCCCCCCAATAATGTTAACGAGATATTAAGAGAATCAAATTTCCTTTAAATTATGCTTTGCCCGGGGACATAATCACATTAAGCTTATTATGTGGCTTCCTTAAGACTTTATATTATGTGTGCTTAATTGAGACATAGGGCCTCTTTCTGGGGGCTATAAAAATGGCAGCGGATTTTATTAAGGCTTAAATCTTCCTTCTTAACAACAAGACGCTTCCTTCCCCCGCGATTCAAAAACCGGCAAAATCTTGAGGGATGATTCCAAGGAGAGGGCTGATTGAAAAGGAGCCCTTTGCAGAGGAAATGGTTGACCAGATCCTAACAGGGATACCGGAGGTTTGACAAGACTTGTAAGCGGTCTTGGCATCCAACAGGCAGGTTTTGTAGGAGGAGAGCAGGCAGAGCTAAGAGGGCGGCGTTAAATGTGCTATTAGCTTAGAGTCGTTACGTTGCCACCAATGGTCCCCGTCCAATCCCTCCTGGATTCCATTGACTCTTCTCTGGTGCCGATTGAGTACTGAACTTGAATGGACTAGATTCTTGCGTACAGTGGATCCTTGAGTTACCCCACCAAGGAGCCCAAAACTTTTTTATTATCTTTTTTTTTGGCCACAGTTCTTAAGCAAAATAAGGCCGTTCTTAAGTGAATCATGGGGTCGAATCCGGCTTCCTCCCTTGGTGTCGCTTGTCGGAAGCCAGTTGAAGAACGTTGAAAATCTCCTGAAAATTCAGTTTTTTTCCCCCCTCTTCCCCACTATAGGATTGTATGAGATCTTGGAACCAGATCTTGGCCAAATTCTGGGGATCTCTAGAAATCTGGGGCAGGGGATAGTGCTACTGGCAGCCTCCCACGAGTTCCAGGAGGGGAGTTTGAGTCTCTTGGGTGAAATAAGGCAGAAGGTCTGATTTGATAGACGGCTGGTTTATTATGCTCAGGGATGCCCTTATTTGGAAAAAAAAAAAAAGATTTGCAAAATCCTTTTCTTGTGTGTTCACACGCCTAGCAGGCTAAGGAAACAAGTTGATTATCAGCCTGGCAAGTTCATACCTTGGGAGAAGGCGTCTGTTCCTAACAAAAGAGCAAAAAGTGTCTCCGTGGGGTGCGACAGCGCAGCCATCCGTTTGTGACACTTGGTGGCTGCGTGCGGTGCGGGGAAGAACGAGATGGAGGACGGTTGTGTTACAAGAGATAAAAGCAGGGGAACAAAATATATTGCACAACTCAAAAAGCTTTATCTCTCCTCGGCCTCACTCCTTCTGCCATAATTCATTTCAAGGAAGACCCGGGAATAATTTTTGATGTAAACTCTGAGGCAAACATCTATCACTTTGCTGATAAGATCGCAGGGCGGGCTAGGAGGAGAGAAGTCGTTCCTTCATCAGGTGAACGTCCCTTCCCTTCCACCAAGTTGAAAAGCAACCCCAGGAAGAAAAGATCCGCAGGGTTCAGTTTTGAGGCAGCTCCATCAGGGGAGGGTGGTCCAGACTGTCATCAAGTTGAGGACAAGAACCAGATTTTGTTTAATGTGAAAAGGAGGAGGAAGAGGAGGAGAGGAAGAGGAGAAGAAGAAAGAGGAGGAGAAAGCAGGAGTAGGAGTAGGAAGAAGAAGGAGAAGGAACCTTAACTTGTCCCATTCTTCTTCTTCTTCTTCTTCTTCTTCTTCTTCTTCTTCTTCTTCTTCTTCTTCTTCTTCTTCTTCTTCTTCTTCTTCTTCTTCTTCTTCTTCTTCTTCTTCTTCTTCTTCTTCTTCTTCTTCTTCTTCTTCTTCTTCTTCTTCTTCTTCTCCTTCTCCTCCTCCTCCTCCTCCTCCTCCTCCTCCTCCTCCTCCAAATGGCTGGCTGGGCTAAGGAATTCTGGGACCTGATTCCCCAATCTGGAGGTCAATTGAGGAAGCTGGTTAAGATACCAGTGAGCTCCCATGAAGGGTCCAGCTGGCCCAAGGAAGACCTAGAGGATCTGTCCGGCTGTCCATCGGCTCCTGAGGGGAAAGAGACCGGGGGACACGAGGGCACCAGAGAGACAAGACAGGGGGGCTTACTTGGGCTCTTCTCCTCAGCCAGATCGCAAGTGCAAAGGAGCTCCGAGTCGATGGAGATCGGCTTCTGCTTAATCCAGAACTTTGTGCTGGCTTTCTGGTTGGTCACAGGATCGACCTCCACCTTGTCGCCGGAAATACCTGAAGACCCAGAGAACGTCAGTCAAGGGAGGAAGGGAAACGTCACATTCAGGTATGGGAGAAGCAAATGAAATGCCCTGCCCCCCTCCCCATTTTTTTTTAAGTGTGACAACATACCATACCACTAGTAGTAGAGAGGTGTTCGTGACTACCAGCATTGTATGTGTAATCATGCTGGGAGGAGGAGGAGGAAAGGAAGAAGAAGGAGGTATAGATGGAGGACAACGAAGAGAAAGAACAGGAGAAAGAGGGATCAGGCAAAAGAGAAAGAAGAGGAAGAAGAGATGGAGAAGTGAAGAAAGAGAAAGAGGAGGAGGAGGAGACAGAAGAAGGAAAAAGGAAGGAGGAGAAGAAGAAAACGAAGAAGAAGAAGAAGAAGAAAACGAAGAAGAAGAAGAAGAAGAAGAAGAAGAAGAAGAAGAAGAAGAAGAAGAAGAAGAAGAAGAAGAAGAAGAAGAAGAAGAAGAAGAAGAAGAAGAAGAAGAAGAAGAAGAAGAAGAAGAAGAAGAAGAAGAAGAAGTGGAGAAGAAAGAAAAGGAAGAAGACTCAAACCCTTATTCCACTGTTCCAACATGCCCAAACAGCAACCTGAGAAGTTAATTTACTCCGGCAAGAGTCTGGGTAATTTATTACAGATTCTATTATGGTTGGGGACACACACACACACACACACACCCTTCCAACACAACCCTCTTCTCCAAAGCAACAACAACCTTGCCTCCGCGCAGAGCTGCAACAGACCGGCAGCCTCATTGCTTAAGTTACAATTACAAGGTTTCTCTGTTGACACTCGGGTGCCCAGACCTCTCTCTACACTTTTTCATCGTGGCAGCTGTGCAGGGAAAGACTTAAAAGTAATTACATTTTTAGGTCAGGAGTTATAGGTCAAGGTCGCCCCCGAAATAGGGAAAAGGAATCAAGAGTATTTAAAAGCAACACGCTGGAAGGGGGGGGGGAGAGAGAAAGGCGATTCCTTTGTTTAGAGTCAAAATGTTGCCCGAGCCCTTTCTATTTCTTTCTTTCTTTCTTTCTTTCTTTCTTTCTTTCTTTTTCTTTCTTTCTTTCTTTCTTTCTTTCTTTCTTTCTTTCTTTCTCTTTCTTTCTTTCTTTCGTTTTTAGAAGGAAAAAAAAAGATCTTTTAAGGCAAAAAAATAGAAGTCAGAAACGGCTCTTTGTTTTGGGCTCGTTTTGCCCAAAATTTATTCCGACCAGGAAAATAATCGCGACACCATCACCAGCCTGGGGACAAAAGGGAGGTCTCGCGTCCAATCCAGTCTAATTCTTGCAAAAGTAAAATAAAATAAAATAATTTCTCCGCTTTTCTTTGTCTCCACGCAAAGCTTCGTGGCTACAGAAAGTCTTGAGTGGGTTGAGGAGGGTCCCGACGCTTTTTTAAAAAAATTAAAATTGGAAACTGAGACCGTGGAATTAGAAGCCCGTCCAAAGAAAGTTTTACTAATTCGTTAGTCAATTTGCTTTCTTGGGTTGCTAAGTAGCCTTTGTACAGCCTAGAAGAGAAGGTGATGGAAACACACAAAATTGAAGGTTTCAAGAGAACAGCGGCAAGGGGTTACATCCACCCAATTGTCTACGCACAGCAAAAATTCAGAAACAGGAGCCAATCGTATTTAAAGCAACGGCTAGAAGCCTGAAAGAAAGCTGGATTTGTTTCCTGGTGTAAGTGAGAAGTATTTGGGGGGGGGGGGGGGGAGAAGAGAACCACTCCACATTTTAGGAGACAATGCTGTAAAAAAAATTGTTTTTTTTCTCTAAATAGCCAATAGCTATTCTCTAAATAGCCAGGTGAGGGAAACACATTTTTGAATGTGAGAATAAAACCATCAAACTATCAGGAATCCATTGGAGAATAAAGAATATGATTTGTCTGCAAGTAAACAACCAAACTCAAGAAAACACAAGGACCCCACAGTCCTCCTCCTCCTCTACAAACGTCACTCCTTCTAGCACTGATGATGTTGCCTAGTTGGGTAATGAAATGTCTGCAAGAAAACCACCAAGCTCAGAGAACACAAGGACCCCACAGTCCTCCTCCTCCTCCTCCTCCTCTACAAATGTCACTCCTTCTAGCACTGATGATGTTGCCTAGTTGGGTAATGAAATGTCTGCGGGAAAACAAGCAAGCTCAGAGAGCACCAAGGACCCCACAGTCTTCCTCCTCCTCCTCCTCCTCACACTGATCACCTAGTTCAGTCATGATATGATGCGAGAAGTCAACCAAGTTCAGAGAGTAACTCATAGTTGTCCTTCTCCTCCTCTCTACAAACCCCTCTTCCTTTTAACACTGATGTCACCTAGTTGGGTAACCAAATGTCTGCCAGAAATCATCCAAGCTCAGAGAGCACTAAGGACTCCACAGTTCTCCTCCTCCTCCTCCTCCTCCTCCTCCTCCTCCTCGCTAGAGACATTCTCTCCTATCTTTGCTACGTCTCCTGTTTGTGGACTGTCCAAGTGCTGGCTTGACATTGGAAGGAAGGACGGGAGGGGAAGGGGAACCTACACCCGTGTTGTGTTAACCTTAGCTCCTGCAGGTGCCAAATGTAGCGTAACTCTCATTTGGAAGCTGACCACTCCGGGAGAGCCAGCCACAGCAACTCCACCAGCAGAGGCACATTTCAATTAATCAAGCCGCGCAATTTGTCACTGGTGCCTACCCCTCCCCTTACGAAGGACCTTCTTCCAATTACCCGTCACGTCAAGAGCCCCAAAGCAGGCCAAGGAGGGTGGAAATAACAGGAGAGCACGAGATCCTTCGTTAGAAGAAGAATAATAATAATAATAATAATAATAATAATAATAATAATAATAATAATAATAATAATAATAATAATAATAATAATAATAATAATAATAATAATAATAATAATAATAATAATAATAATAATAATAATAATAATAATAAAGGTCTCTTTGATTGCAACTTTTCACTCCGGGCAGCTTCATCGTTAATAGCTCAAAATCTACCCATCTTCCTTGCAAAAAAAAATAAATCACCAAATATCACACAAAAAACGCCTTGTTTTTAAAACCCAAAAAAATGAGGTTGATTTAAAACAAACAAACAAAAAAAAACACCCGAAGATTTCCTGATCTTTTATCATTCAAATCAAACAGATCTTTCCCTCCCGGGTGCGTCCCTTCGATAGGTTACAATTAAAAACAAGTGTAAATAACCTGACTGGGTTTTTTTCTCTTTTCTTTCGATCTTCCAAACCAAACCAAAAAGAGAGAGAGAAAAAAAGAACAAAAATACACAATTCGTTTTCTCGAATTCCTCGCGCGGCGGCGGGGTCTACCGCGTTAATGCGCCCGTGTTAATTTGATCGGGTCTGTCAGGTAGCTCCAGTGGAAAATTATATAAAACTGTTCCAGATGAACAGATGATAGTGACATGAATTAAAGTGATAGAACAATAGTAGAATATAAACCAGAAATGACAGCCAAAGTGGCTGTTGATTTATTGCCATCCAGAGTGTGGTTCTGGGCTTCCATGTATATTAGCGGTACAAATCTGGGCCCATTTAGCGGGGGGATGCTCATACATACATCACCAACTGCTCCCGCATGCCAAGGTCACTTCTCGTGGCATCAATCTTTTGCCACGGAGGCTCCTTGGCTCACGAGTGTGTGTTTGTGTGTGTGTGTGCACGCACACAAAAGGAGGCCGAGGCTGGCTGGGTGGGGGGGAACCATCTCGGAGGGGGTCCCTCGGCCCCCTCTTCCTTCCCATCCCTTTATCGCCTGGAAAGCACTTGAAACTTTCTATTATTTTTATCGGCAAACGGTGGAGGTGCCCTCCCATCTATTACGGCCCCTATCAGCCCATCGTTGGCGCACAAAGCAGGGCACACCCGCTTTGGCTAGATGGCGCGTCCTTTTTGAGATGGGTTCCTGGGCTGCCTGGTCCCTCCCCTTGAGTGTTGGTGCCGGGTGTTGCCCCAACACCTTGGAAACACGCATTTGGAACAATACTTTACAGGCCGAGTGTGAACCGACGTGCTATTCTTAAGTTCTGGTAATGTCGGGCGCGAGCAATCAAATCCACCCGTTTCGGTCTGAAGCTAACTACTTTATTGTTTTCCGCCTATAATGCAGGAATCTTCCTAGATTGCTCGCCTTCTTCCTTTGGGAACAGATTGAGAAGATTCCGTAGAGACGAAGGGAGGGCAGTCCTGGATCTCTTGTGACTGTGCAAGGATTCAAGGCTAATTCCCTGTTTGATTCCTCCTCCCTGCCTAGCTGGGTGCTTCTCAACAAGCTGATTTAAGGGGCATGATGGTTTCCGGCCTTAACAATCAAACCCGCGTTGCCTAGAGCTCAAACTAATCACGTTATTGTTGTAGACTAGTTGGTGCTCTCTGAACTTGCTTGTTTTCTTGCAACTGGACCTTTTTTGTTTGTCCTGGAAAATATTTCGCTTCTCATCCAAGAAGAACCGAAGAAGCTTCTTGGATGAAAAGCAAAATGTCTTCCGGGAAAAACAAAGGAAGTCCAGTTACCTCTTGGGGGAAAAAAGAGAGAAATAAATAAAAGGGATACCTGAGAAGATTTACTGCGTTTCGTGCACCCTATTCATCACTGCCTTCCCGAAATGAGCCCGGCAATGTTGGAACCCAGTCAGAGGATTAAAGGGATTATTTCTTGCCCCTCTTCACACACACACACCCTTTCTAATAGTTCCGGAGTTGTTTGGGCTAAGCAAACCTCCCATTTTAACTGGGCTCTTAACCTCCTCCTCTTCCTGCCAAAATAAAATTCCTAGAGCGGGCTGCAAAAAAAAAACCCAGGCCCTTTTGTTTCCAACGCTGTGTCACATTTCATCCCCAGATGGGGATGGAAAAGGAACACATGGGGTGGGGAAACCGAACCTCGCTTAACAAATGTCTCGTTTAGCCACGGAAACATTGGTTGCGGTCGTTAAGTCGAGGACTACCTGTAGATAAAGAGCTGCTGGGCAATTGACTGCATGGGGGCGAGTCAATTACGGGGGAACTGACGCCCCCAGAGGTTGAGGCAGAAGGGGAGACGTGATGTGCAGAGAAAGTACCCTTTAAAAAAAACAAAACTTCATAGGAGGATTATAAAATTAACAACACACAACTACAATTTTGTACGGAGAAGGGAGCAGCGAGGGATGAAAGGTGGAACAGCTCTTCCACGAATCCAGCAGGTTTTTTTTTTGGTTTTTTTTTGTTCCTTCAGCTTCGGTCCAAGGGACAGCTATTTGTTTCTGCTAGCAGAAAGACTGGCTGGGTTAACCATTTGTCTTTGGTGATCTGTCTTGACCTTTCCAAGCTCTTATTTCTGACAGATTCCAGATACAAGTGAGTCAAACTTCCCTGGAAGGAAACTATCACCCCAAGATGGTTTGCTCAAGAGCAGAAAACACGCCGAAAGAAAGCTGCCCTCCATCAACTCCAGTATATAAATCCTTCCTTAACAAGACAATGCAAGGAGGAGGGGGAGGAGGGAAGGGGGTAAATGGATGAAGAAGGAAGGGAAAGGAAGGGAAGAGAAGGGAAGGGAAGGAAAGGAAGGGAAGGGAAGGGAAGGGGGAAGGGAAAGGAAAGGAAAGGGAAGAGAAGGGATGGGAAAGGAAAGGAAAGGAAAGAAGACAGAAAAAGAGAGTAGAAAGGAATGGAAAAGAAAAAAGAAAGAAAAGAGAAGAAGAAAAGAAAGAACGGAAAAGAAAGCAAAGGAAAGAAAGAAAAAAGAGAAAGGAGAGGAAAGGAAAGAAAAATAGAAGGAATGGTAAAGCAATGGAACAACAAAAAGAAAAACAAAAAAACCCCTTTTTGTGGCTTTAACGTTTCAGGAAATAAATGTCACATTTGGGTCTCGTACACACACACACACACACACACACACACACACACACACACACACACACACACAGTCTTCATAAATGAAAGGGCCACAGTTTATATTTTCCCAACTTTGGGGAAAAAAAGCAATCCCTATTTTAAAAAAAACCTCGCCCAAAATGCCTCCACTCGCTCCTTCAGATTCACACACAAATCAAGAGGCTTCTTTCTCTGCTCCTCCTCCTCCTCCTCTTCCTCCTCCTCCTCCTCCTCCTCCTCCTCCTGTTTGTCGGTTTCAAACAGCTGCCCTCAACTGGGCAGGCACAATTTCAACACAAAATGGGGGCTGCTGCAAACGCCGCTCTCTGGCTTTCTGAGACCAGAAGCCCCCTTTTTCCGAAGCTAGCGTGAAGCAGGGGCATTTTTCGTCTCCAACGAACATCGTGCTGATGCGGTTGGGATACCAAAGTCAGAAAACTGGGGGGGGGGGGGGAAGCGATGCAGCCTGTGTATTTTTAATTTAATTTTATTTTTTCTTTCTGCACAAATAGGGTCTGATGTTTGGAGACTGCCCGGGCAAGCCCCTGCAATTTTCTTGGCCAGGTTTTCCAGAAGTGGTTGGCCATTGCTAGCTCCCTAGGGCTGAGAGAGAGTGGCTGGCCCAGCTGGCGTCATGCCCAAGGCTGGGACTAGAACTCACAGCCTCCCGGTCTCCTTAACAATTACAGATTTTATTTTTTTTTAAAGACAACTTCTGTAATTGCCGCCTTCGGTCCAGTTGGCTGAAAATCGGGGCAGCCGATTTCCCCAAATCTCTAGGAGGCGACAGGCTGTCGGTCCTCAGATTACGACGTTGAAGGAGGCCGGGCAGCAACCCGGAGAGGTAAAAGGCCAGGGGGAAAGGGCGCCGAACACGCAGGCGGATTTACCTAACTGAACGTCCGTGGTGAACCGGAGCCTGTGGATCATGCTGACTTTGAAAGACTTGTAGTGATGGCTGCTTAGCATGTCTTGGACGGTCGCAATGTCGATCTGGGGGTCTTCTTCCGAGGTCTCCTCCCCTCTCGAGCCTCCGCCAAAAAAGAGAGAAAGGAAGAGAGAAAGTGTGGTTGCCACTGAGACATGGGGAGGCAAAAGGGGGACAATAGGAGGCAATGTAGGGGGTGGAAGGCCTTGTGGGGACTGGGGTGCAGTTCTGGGTGCCCACTTGGAGGAGAAAAGTCTGGACAGGTTCAGAGAAAAGCTACAAGAGACTATTCTGGAGCTGAGGATTGAACTGTGGGGTCCTTGGTGCTCTCTGAGCTGGGCTGTTTTCTTGCAGACGTTTCATGACCCAACTAGGGAACATCATCAGGGCTAGAAGGGAGCGGGGCTTGTGGGGAGGAAGACTGTGGGGTCTCTGAGCTTGGTGCTTCTCTTGCAGACATTTCATGACCCAACTAGGGAACGTCATCAGGGCTCGTGAGGGTGACTTGCTCCCTGTTTATGCACAATAGCACTGAGCTGGGTTGTTTTCTTGCAGACGTTTCATGACCCAACTAGGTAACACCATCAGTGCTACTTAGTGCCATTAACACGGATGATGTTACCTAGTTGGGTCATGAAACGTCTGCAAGAAAACAACGAAGTCCCGAGGACATCAAGGACCCCATCAAAGCTGCACGGATGATAAAGAATCTGCACACCCAGCCTTGTAATGAGCAGGTTAAGAAGCTGGCTTTCATGACTAAGGTGGGACTAGAACTCACCGTCTCCTGGGGATTGGCCCAAAGTCATTCAGCTGCCTTTCATGCCTAAGGTGGGACTAGAACTCTCAGTCTCCCTGTTTCTAACCCGGTGCCTTAACCAGTAAACTAAACTGGCTCTCTGCTTTTAATGGATAGAATTAACGTAGATAAACTAAGAAACTGAACTTGGCTTGAACGGGAGAGGGAAATGAACGGCACTAAATGAATGGTTGTTAGTGAAGGACTCCCTTCTAATGGGAGCAAAAAAAGAAAGAAAGCCAGAATTTAAAAAAAGGACATTTTTTTATTCTATGAGATCAGCTTAACGCCGATTTGAAATTTCCTGCAGGGATCTCTCCCCCCCCCCCCCACAGAGCCATTTCTATGCCAAAGACTAATAAAAGCATCTTAGCTGTAAACGATAATACAGATGCTTTTAGATAAAGTGGGGCGTGGATACAGTGGGGGAAATTGATTAAACCTCTTGCAGAAGACACGGCGAGTGACAGGTTTGGTGGAACGCGCCAGCTAATGTCCCCTCCGTAGCCAAAACAACGGCCAGTTTTCCAGCTCTACATTTAGTCGCGAGAGATTAATGAAAATAATTTATTTAAAAAAAAACCACACATATAGGCACGACAAGATGGGGCTTTAGCAGAGAGTGGCAGTCGATTGGAAATGCGCCTCGCCAATTCCTGTAGGTTGATTCTCTGGAAAGTTTAGGTCACCGGGAAGCGGGCTCAGCCCCCTGTCTGAAATGGTACAGGGTGTCCTGCTTGAGCAGGGGGTCAGACTAGAAGACCTCCAAGGCCCCTTCCAACTCCGTTATCAGTCTGATCAACAGGGAAGGAGATCAAGAGTCCGGCTTAGCCACATCTGGAAAAAAAACCTCACAGCCTTATTGAAGGGGCTGGTCTCCACCAAATGGCTGTCCCCTGGGTGGGGGGAAAGGACTAGGAGGGCACCCTCCATCTGTTCAACAGATCTTGAAGTAGGCCTTGTTTACGGGCAACAGCCTAGCAAATTGCCTCCACGTGCCAAACACAAAGAAATCGCTCCGTCTAGTTAAGTCGGCGGCTTCCTCCTCCGTCATAAATGGAGGAAGGAACAGATTAGCTGGGGAATTTAAGACAGCCACCCTGTCACCCGCCCGTTCTGCCCTCTAATATCTTTGTCTAGGCGCCTTGTTTTTCTCCCTCCAGCTTCTGTCTTGCTTTGCTTAATGGAAGGATGGATTCCTAAACAGACAATGACTTATTTTATTTGCCCTGGCTGGCCTCAGGTATTAAGGGTCGGATTCAAACAAACCAACAAACAAAAAAAAAAGCATCTTTAGTGCCGCGCTTATTTCATTTTCTGCTCGTAGAAATGGCCCAGGTGAGAAGAGGGCAGCAGCTATTTGGGATCTTTAATGTCGCTGTCTTCCAGATGTTTGGCCCTGCCTTCCGATCCGAGTCCGTCTTCGGCTGGGAGAAATGGGACGTGGGGGGGGGGGGGGGGGAAGGGGAAGGGAAAAAATAGGCCCGGAAGAACCCCAAATGGCTCCCGACAGAAGGCAGAAACCGAAGCTCAATCGGTACGTGGAGATTCAGGCAGATGGCCCCGTCATTACAATTTCACACCCCAATGCTATGCCGTGGTGAAATCCGACAGGACTTCCGAATCTGTAAAATAAATCAGGTTTGTCTGACTTCCTCAATCCCTCCGGATAACTGGATAACTCTTCCCGTTGAGTTGGCGAAGGCCGCTGTAACCGGTTTGGCCTATAGAGAAATATGAATCGTTTTGGTCTTGTCACAACTATTTGTCTTGGGATTGTTGTCCAGTCAATGAGTTGCGTCCGACTCTTCACGACCCCATGGACTATAGGCCCCTCTGTCCTCCACTATCTCCTGGACTTTGCTCAAATCCATGCTCGTTGCACTGATGGCCCTATCTAACCATCTCATCCTCTGCTATCCCTTTCTCCGTTTGCCTTCCATCTTTCTCAACGTCAGGGTCTTATCTTCTCCAAGGAATCCTCTTTTCTCTTTTGGTGGCCAACGTATTTGAGATTCAGCTTCAGGATCTGTCCTGCCGAAGGACATCTCTATCAAAGCTTTCGTTTGACATCTGATGTCCAGTCCAACCTTGAAGCTTTAAAGCTTCTGGGATGGTTGAAGGTGCTTAACAAGTCACCACCAAAACTAACATGGGACTAGAGATGGATGGGTGCCAGATTTCCAGTTGGGTATTGATCAAATTGAACGAAGTTTAGAGGAGAGCAGGGAAGGTACTTGAAGATAGGGTCTCGGAGGACAGGCTGAAGAAACTTGGGGATGTCCCATCTGGAGGAAAGTAGATTTAAAAAGTATATAAGTGTCAAGCATGAAGAATTGGGACCATACGTTGAGTTTCAGTTAAGCTGATTTATTGCTCCTACACAAGAATTTAGCCAACTAAATTGGCAGTAGATACGAGTTGAGGAGTTGAACTTGGACCGTTTGTGGGAACGTAAAGACTCCAGGCTGATTCCTTTCTTGACTCCACCCGCAGGCTCTGCCTGTCAGGAAGAGTGAAAGAAGAGGCTAGGAGAAGACCACCACAAGCAAACACCCAATGATTCCTTTTCAGTGGAATAATTTCAAGGGCAAACGGGGAGGGAAAATTTCAGAGTGAAGAATGAGGTTGGATTCTTGGACAACATGGAAGATTAAGCTGGACGATTCTCAGCGGTAACAAGGCGAGACGTTTTAAGGGCATTTCAGATAAATCCTTCATGTAAATATGAAGAGCCTCAAGGTCCCCTCTTAGGAAATCAACCCAGAGGTAATGTAAACTCCAAATGAAATAAACGTTAAAGCTTAGATGCAGGAGTTGCTTAGCTCACAACGTCTTCCACGGACCCACAATTAAGCAGAGAGAGTCCTTTCCCATCCAATCAAATGCTTTCTTTCTCCGTCCTTTTTCAGTTTCAATCGCCTAACTTAGATAAGCAGGCTGGGAAAAAACCTGTACAGAGTTGTTACTCTCAAATATTTTTTGTTTTTTAAAAGCCATTGACGTTATTCTGCTGCCTATAAAAATAGCAAAACAATCCACCGAGGGGAGAAAAATCCCGTAACGCCATCTTGATGACAACACAAGGACAATAAAGTAATAATATGCCCTATATAGTTTGTTCAGGAGACGTGATGTTTTTTTTATTAGGATTATAGCAGACCCCCTCCTCCTTCAATGTTTCTGCAAATCGCAAATGATTTTTCCTTCTAGGAGAAAGATTCTGGGCTGGGCTGTCTGGTTCTGGAGTATGCATGATTGTAGGTTATTAAAAACAAAAACTAATTGGCTTCTTGGGAGTAGTTAAAAGACGTGTTAGGGAACACTAGAAAGCGATGAAGAAAAGGTAGAATCCCTCAGATGTTATTCAGCTTTCAGAGTCATCCCAATCTTGTGCTAGGAAAGAGACCCCTCTTGGATTCGAACCCTCGGCGAAACACGGGGATGTCTGACTTGTTGGTGCACGCCCAGAAGTTCCTATCTGGACTTCCAGATGGATGGATTTTAACTCCCAGGATCCTCCACCAAGGTCGCGATAGCTGGGGGATTCTGGGCAATGAAGTCCACCCGTTGAGAAGCCGCCCAAGTTGGCTTGGTTAAGAGCAGCCCAAGTGGCTTCAGTTGTGGGAACAAAATGGAAGCGGGGTTGGAATGTCTCCCCTGAGATCTTGCAAGATCCCAAAGTGAGACTAGGAAATGGGGGAAGATTTGGGTTATTTTTATTTTTATTTTACCCATACTTTGAGGCAACGTCAAGGGATTTGCAGGACACCGTCGTTCCTTGTTTGGTACCGAAGGTTTCTTCAAATGAGTGTGTCCCCAGACCAACTGCTGCTGATGGGTCCTGTGGTCTTCACACATAACAGAATAACAAGAGTTGGAAGGGACCTTGGAGGTCCTCTAGTCCAACTCCCTGCTCAAGCAAGGAGACCCTAGACCACTTCAGACAAATGGCTGTCCACTCTCTTCTTCTTCACCCACAACTTCTGGAGGCAAATTGTTCCACCGATTAATCGTTCTCACTGTCAGGAAATTCCTCCTTAGTTCCAGGTTGCTTCTCTCCTTGATGAGTTTCCATCCGTTGTTTCTTGTCTTGCCTTCAGGTGCTTTGGAGAAGAGGTTGACCCCCCCNCCCATCTTCTTTGGGGCAGCCCCTCAGATATTGGAAGACCGCTGTCATGTCTCCCCTGGTCCTTCTTTTCACTAGACTGGACATGCCCAATTCCTGCAATCATTCTTCGTACATTTGGGCTTATCTGGAGGATGCTAAGAAGATGGTGGAAGAACACCTAGCTACTACAGCTTGTGCGACTGCTGAGATGTTACTTAAAAGAAACCTCCAGACCTGAAATAACACTTAGACTCTTCCAGTCTTGGAAGAATGAGCTCATCATTCCTTCCCCCCCTCCAAGAAAACAACAATAAAGGTTAGTTGTGTTTTCTCTACACCCACCTCCCGAATCCCCCATCCCATCCGCTTATTGCTTTAATGTAGTGGTATATTGCTTAATGAAAATTCTTAATTGTAATTCAATTAATTACATACACAGCGTCCCCAATTACATTTTCCAATAAGATATTGCCTTTGGTTCAGGACTAAAGGCACTTAACCAATTTTAATATATTAAGACCAATTTCCCTTGAATACTAATTACGGTTTAACGACGAAAGGAGAACCAGGAACTTTCCAGAAGCTGGATGGGAAGTATAAAAGGAAATTAACCATGAATAGTGCAGGGGGCCTTCTCTTGAGCGGAGACAGAGAGGTGGGAGGAGAGGAGGGGAAAAGGGGGAGAAAAAAACAAAAAATCCCAACGCAAGACACAGATCCTACCGAACATTCCCAAATATGGGAAGTGGTTGTATTCCTCTTCCCAAGTGCAGAAAGGGGGGGCGGGTAAAAAAAATATATGAAAGACATCTTGCTGTGCTAATAGTAATAATAAAAAAATGATTTTTCTCTCCCCCCACTTAATCCCTTGAAATGTAAACACACAAGATCTCAAAACGGAGCCTTTTGGCATTCATTTGTTCCAGCATCTGTTCAGCTCCTTAAAGAGAATATTGTGTGTGTGTGTGTGTGTGCGCGCGCACAAGCGTGCTCTTCTGGAAAAAAAAAAAAATCCTTAACGCTGCAAATCCTTTATCTGAAGAAATGGCTAATTTTAATTACGGCGGCTAAAATTAGACGGGAATGTCTCCCGGCGTTTGGAGATCTCTCCAGGGCCTCCGAAAAGCGGAATACCAGCTGTCCAGGACTTTAGCCCACCCCCTTCAGATATGCCTTAATTGCCAGGCTCAAAAGGTAGCGATCCTAAAGAGGGTAGCCAGGAATAACTAACAGGCTTGCCATTTGGATCACTAAAGTACCGATCCGTGGATTTGGGAGTTTAAGAGCAATTATTGAGCCCTGGTGGCGCGGTGGTGAGAATGCGGTACTGCAGGCTAAACTCTGCCCGCTGCCAGCAGTTCGATCCTGACCGGCTCAAGGTCGACTCAGCCTTCCATCCTTCCGAGGTCGGTAAAATGAGGACTCCAGATTGTTGGGGGGCAACAGGCTGACTCTGTAAACCGGTTAGAGAGGGCTGTAAAGCACTGTTGAGTGGTATATAAGTCTAAGTGCTATTCCTGGGGGCTCAGGGTGTGGAAGGCTGAAAACGGAGCAGATTTGGGCCCTAAACAGGAGTGAATCCAGATTGCCAATGTCCACGTTTATTTTTTTTTTTTAAGAAGGAGAGTTTTGAAGTCCTTTGAAGGTTTATGATGATGTATTTCCAAAGTTGGAATAAAGAATAGCCTTTTGCTAATCCATAAAGCCCAATGATGACGGCATTATCGTTATAATTATTAACAGTAATAGAGGCAGCCCTTGACTTGCAACAATTCATTTAGCGACCGTTCGGCACTGAAAAAAAGCTCTAGGACCTTTTTTCACCCTTACGACCGTTGCAGCATTTCCCAGGGTCACGTGATCAAAATTTGGACGCTTGGCAACGGACTCGTATTTACGACGGCTGCAGTGCCCCGGGGGTCACGTGATCCCCTTGGGCGACCTTCCGACGAGTGATTCGCTTCAGAACCGTCTTCCCCGATTAACAACTGCGTGATTCACTTAGCAACTGCGGCAGGGAAGGTCGTAAAAGGGGGGCAAAAGTCACTGAAGAACTGTCTCACTGAGCAACAGAAATGCTGCGGCCGTAAGCCGAGGACTACCTGCATAAGGGAAGGGTTGATCAGCACCACCGGCAGGAGAAGCTGGCCACTTTTTTACAAGGGAGAAAAGAGAAAGCAGCTGATTTAACCGAAACGCTAGGAAATCAATCTCTCTCTTCTTTGGGAATAGAAGTCTCTCTCTCTCTCTCTCTCTCTCTCTCTCTCTTTTGGCAGAGAGGGAAGCTGCCTTGAGGGAGGAGGGAGGAAAAAAGATCATCCAGACTGCCTTCCAACTCCTGGGCTGGGAAGCCAGGGGACATAACTTACGTGAGCTTAAAGCTGTTTTGTAGATGGCTGTAAGGAAGGAAGAAGGGAGGGAGGGAGGGAGGGGAGAGAAAGGGTGAAGAAGAGAGCCAACTTACTGTTCTCGCGGACCAGGCAAAATTCCAGCGTGCTCTGACTCTCCAGCGTACAGTCTAAGTCAATGGGAACGTTGGGCTCGCTCTGTTTCTCCAGGCGGTATCGAGGTCCTGAAAAAGAGACGACAACCACCTTTTATAATGACTGTCCACGGAGATTCTCCCGTCATCCAGGTCAGGGTCGTCCCAAACGTGCCTTTTTTTCAAGAAGCAACTGGACCTTTTTGGGGGTTTTTCCTTGAAGATGTTTCGCTTCTCGTCCAAGAATCCTTGGGCTGGGACCTTGGAGGTCTTCTAGTCTAACTCCTTGCCACGATAGGAGACCCTCGACCATCCCAGACAAATAGTTGTCCAACCTCCAGCGATGGAGCACCCATAACTCTTAAGAGGCAAGCCGATCCACAGCTTAATGGTTCTCCTTGTCGGGAAATTCCTCCTCATTTCCCGGTGGGATCTCCCTCCGAGGAGCTTCCACCCATGCTCCTTGTCCTGTCCTCAAGGCTGTGGAGAACAAATCGACACTCTCTTCCCCGTGACAGTCCTTCAAGGAGTGGAAGATGCTATCACCTCTCCAGAACTGGAGAGAAGAACCATCACGGCGGCCGGCCCCAAGCTAGAACCTCAATCAGGAGAGGTGTTGGTGGACCAGAACACCCATTCTCCCCAGCCACCTGAAAGCTGAGGGTGATGGGAGTGGTGTCCCGGGGGGAAAGGATGGGTTATGGAGCCCACTTCAAAAGCAACGAGGATCTGAATGCCACAAAATGCTTCCTATTATTTACTTGTAATAATAATTATAATAAAGTGGGAAGGGACCTTGGAGGTCACCTAGTCCTTCCTTGAACTTCTTCAGCTTCTCCTGCTGACCAAGCAGCATGACGATGGTTAAAACCATGATGGGCAGGCTACATTACGCTCGTAACTCGAGGACCACCTGTCACCATTTATGGAGGGGATCCACTAAGCGAGGCTGGGGGATGGAGGAGAAAGGAAGAACATG